AATGCTTAGTCCAGAGTGGGTTTTCATGTTGACGCTTACTGCCAGAGTGCCCCCTGGGGAGGGCACAAACCAGGCACAAGTGCCAGGCACAACCGTGCTCATGCCCCTCGAAAGTGCGTGCTTCTTCAAACCCGTGCCCGCACTGTTAGAGGGATGGCAGTGTGCCCAGCTGGGGCTGTGTTTGACAGAGGTACCGCGTTCATATTACAGTGGCTAACCCCCAGGAACAGGCGTGGCAGGAGGTCAGGGAGTTCATTGCTGAGGGCGCTTGTTCCAATCTGATCTGTCTTTCCCTTTTTCCCCCTCCCCAAACAGGTAGTTATGCTCGTCCTAGCCTGGAAATTGGATGCACAAAACATGGGCTATTTTACTCTCCAGGAATGGCTAAAAGGAATGACTTCTCTACAGTAAGTCCCCAGGTGCACTTACGGGGACCCTGCTCCACTCCGGTGGTTGGTGGCCGCCTTGCCAAGCGCCCCGGGAGTCTGGGTTGGGGGAGTGGGAGAAAAACAGGTAATCTGGGAAAAGGTCCAGAGATGGAAAGACGAGTCCCATGTTTCTCTGTGGAGGGAGGACAGTTGTAGATGGATTCCGTCAGTTGAGAACTTTAGATGATGTACAAGGTGGGACCGGGAGCTTCAGAAAGTTTGTGAAAATTGCATAATCTTTTCATTCTATTTTTCGAAGGGTGTGCTGTTTATTTCATAGTCTTGTAAAATAGCTCTGTCCACTTATGTAATTTTACATTTTCTGGTAGCTGTGGTAGTAAAGAAAGAGGTGGGATTAACCACTGTAATAAAATTTCATGAACTTAATATAGTCAAAATACATTTTTCTGTGTAACCATATAAAAACTTAATAAAACATTTCATTCTTTAGTTAAGTCTTCAAAGTTTGATCTGTTTTCTATTTGCAGCACATCGCAATTCATAGTAGCCTCATTTCAAGTGTTTAACTGCATGTGCCTAACCCAAAACCCAGCCCACTGCTGACAAGTCCATTCTGACTGCAGGCGGCCTGGGGGCGGAGGGTCTGCTCCCTAAGGTTTCCGAGGCTGTGAGTCTATGGACGCAGACTGTTTGATCTGCCTCCCAGGGAGCAGCTGCTGCCCTTTCCACCCAGCACGTAGCCCACCACGCCACCCTTGGCTCCTAGCAGTTGCCATATTGAACTGTGTATGTCTAGCGACTACCAAGCCAAGGTTCACTCATTGGCACCTGGTTTACAACCGGGGAGGAAACGTTGAGTAATGGATAGCTCATAAGGGAAAGTA